CTTTATGGCCATAAATAGGACAACTTACCATACATATTATGGAGCTTCCATGACCCCAGAGGTGCATTCGTTCCAAAACTTGCGGTAGTTAGGTGTACAATGGTAGTCATTGGTTGCCAGTAAAGGTCACTTAGAGCCTTCTTTTCAAATTGGAGTTTATTGGTCAAAATGGTCACTGTATTCTCAGAAGTTCGGGTCAAAAAACCGTCTCGGGCACCGCCCACCGCACCACCTTTCCCATTTTGCTCGCCGAGTTGTCCTTGGTCTGCTTTCCGCTCAACCAATCGCACCATTCACCCCTATGCGTTTTTTCCCGTATGGGTTTTTTCTCATCGCTCTATTATATCTACATACGATTGGGAAAGGGGTGGTTTAGAGGTGGTCGTGCGTTCGTGGTCGTCGTCATCGTCGTTGTCGTCGAACATTTACCCTCAGCAATAGGGCATGACGGGACGATGAGTACGAGGACGACAAGGAGGCCGGCTATTCTTTGTCATCATCCGTCGTTTTTTCCAAACCCTCCCATGTTTCCTCTTCACACACCACTGCTGTACGAATTCATGTCCTCATTTCAGCCAAGGATATCGTTCGTGTCGTCGAGGACAACGTACAGGACGACGACAGTGGTGGCAATTCCGAGAATGCCGCTCCGTCAGATGAGGTGCCCACAGCCGCTGAATCGCAGGCTGATGAGCATGAGCTGGTGAAGGAAGACGAAGAGGTTAGCTGACAGTTCGGGTTCTGCTGGGGGCAAGTCATGGTTGCTTGAAATCAATAATCAACTGATAGCCATCGCACTGCCTAGAGTGCTCCATTTTGCGCGTCATTTAACATGAAGGCGTTCCTGCTGTACTGGGATTGTTTACTAGTTAAGTGCAAAGCGACAAAGGAGCGATGAAAGGCCTCGTGACCCCTGAGCCACGGGACAGCAATTGACCGCGAAATTAAGCTGCCAGATTTCCGAATGTGGCCGTTTTTGGCTGTACAGCTGCCTGGAAAGAGAAGTCATTGCCTTTTAGATCCCTTAAAAGTATCTGGGAGTAGTTTTTAGGGTCCTGGTAGGAAGTATCAGGAGTAAAGGGGTTATTTGACCTATGGCATCGCCGAATGACCTGCGTGATCCCAACGAATCCATGGTAATTATGGAGACCTTTTTGTAGGTGGTCCGAGTTCATGCTGGTTTTTCTTTCCCAGTTACCACGTCACTTGGCCTTTACCCGGGTAAAACTTGTATCGGCTAGAGGAAACCTAGAAGGATACCCTTCTTTACTTCCGGGGGTCTTGGATTGTACACTTTAGAACGGCATTCCAACAAAAGTTCAGTGCTAAAGGGAGTAGGAAAAGGATAATTGTGCAGAGATGACGTAACCAACCAGCCTAGTAGTAGCCCATTTTAATCCCTTGTGGGCTAAATGCCTCTCCGATGACATCACGAACAGTAGTACTACCTTTCACATTCGCCTTTTCAGGAGCACAGGAAATTTGATATGAGCTTCGTTTCACCGAGTAAAGTCGAGCCGGAGATGCTATGCATGTCCATTGATGGACGTATAGCCGCAACGGACAAAGACGAAGGCGCGTCGACCACGGAAGTAACGGCGACTGTAAGTAGTACTGAAAACCCTTAATCGTGTGCCACTTAATCAGATGCG